TCTGTGTCACTAAAAAGGTGCGGACCGTATTATGCTGTCAGTTTCAGTCACAATTCAACAAACTGATTCTATAGAGTCGTTTTTAGGCCTTTGGCGCATTGATTATGCTAATCCATAATTTTACGGTAAAATATCGACAAATCCCTCTTGTTAAGGAAACTGCCTCAGCATGAATTCAGTTAGCTGTACTGTTGCCGGCTTATTTGCCACCAATCGTTCACCTAAAACCCGAGTTATGAAAGTCTGTAATTCGGCTCTTCTGTAGAATTTTCTTTAAATTTCATACAAACAGATGGTATTCACTGCGAACAAAGCCGGATGAACTAATTCAATTTTTTATGAACGAACACTTAGCGAAATTTGTTTCTGTAGAACTATTTTCGGACACAACATGTGCGTGGATATTTCAGTTAATTTTTCCACAAAAGGGTAGGTGTGTAAGCACAGACATACAAGTAACCAAATTCCACAGAAAGACAAAAACGGCAGTCGGTTGTTTCGACTAATAACAAAGATGAAAATTGGAAAATTTTTGGAAGATTTCTTAGCAGAGCTCAAAATCTAATGGTATTGCCATAAAATAATGGCTTCTAGTGGATAACCTCATTGTTTCGGCGAAGATTAAATCAACAGCGCACCACGGTCCAACCCAAATTTGTTGTGTACTTAGGTGGCCTGATCAGGGATACAAATAACCACAAAAACGTTCAAAACATCTTTCCTTGGAGTTTCGACTGCAGAAAATCTCGTTTATTTACAGCAAATGTAAAATTATTTTGTCCACCTGTTCTAATGAGGGAATTCCTCGCTAACTTCCAGGCACTCTGGATATCCATTTGGTCACCAGTTATAATTCATTTTGTTTTAGCTTCTTGGTGGTTAGTAGTTTTGAAATATATGACGTTTAATAATCCGTCTCAATGCCGGGACTTTGTAAGCTGACCACTGACGGACGACGCGTCCTTAAAAATGCCATTTTATGATGTGAATTGATGAAACGGTGAATCGAATACAGTGAGAATATCAGTTTTTCCCAGTTCACTCGCCTCTGCGAATACTCGGAGGACGGAGACTGCGTCCGTTTTGGGAGCGTCTGTATTTCAATTCTGGTTGGCTTTTGTGGAAGAAGCCGTTTTAGATGGATGAACAAGTCAATATTCTGATTACCCGTGGTGCCGCATTGCCAAATGCTCTTACAGCACGGTTGCAATATCCAAATTTCTAGTTTTATACGCTGTTATTTGAACGGCGACCGAAATAAACCTAATTAATTCTGTTGACGTCACATAGATTGGAAAGCGGCAGAATACCTCCTCTCTAGGAGGTATTCGGGATATCAACAGGATGAATTTACAAAAGGTAGGACTACGACACTGATGACTATACCTGGATAAAGCCACTGAGATTGCTCCACTGGATCGAATTTCCAGCCTCGGATTGTCTATTAATTCTCTTTTTATCTCTCTTTACACCTTCCCTGTCCCATACAACACGCATGAGTATACACAAAAACAAACGTACAAGGAACAAAACAATCACATTCTGTTGGAAGTGTGAGTGCACATTTAAGTCATATGTTTTGTACTGACACTAACCACACTATTGATTTATCATGAACAATGGCGATAGATGTCGGGTGTTTTAAAAACACATCACTGATAACTGGTTTCATACTGGCGCCATTATCCTCTGGAAAAAGAACATAAAAGAATCAGACAAAAGTGATCTTATGTTGGTGCAATATAGCCACTAAAAGATACTCCCAGGGATCACCTAATATGCTATCGATTTGCTAATAATGAGCCATCACTTGATATACCACCGAAAGTTAGTTTCCCCTGAAGTGATTTTACCATGCAAAGACAAATGTCATTTCAACAATGTGATAAAATGAAAATCGCCCAGAAGTGGGTCTGTTGTATCGTTTGGGGGTAGTCTGACAGAATTTGGTAAGGCTTCAATATAGATTTCCTGTTGTAAGTGAAGCAAGTCTATGCTTAAAAGTAGAGAAGCACTGTACAGCTGTTTCATCCATATTCGGAATCCCCAGCTACGTTAGCCCCACAAATCTCCAGAGATGAAAGGTGGGTAGTGGGCAACCGTAACCTCCCGACTAGTAGTTGAACATTTGCCCGTTCGGTCATGATCCACTGATTAGCAGTTTAATTAGCTCTCACTCAGACCACTGCTGTTGAACACTAAACCCTACTCTTAATGAAATCTGCCCTGAGATGGTATCGTAAGTGCTGAATTATTCATCGGTACAGAAAGACCGTCGCCGGTCGTTCGGTGTGGACAACACATCTAATTGTCTATTCGTCATCTTAGAACCACAGTTCAACCGAAATATGGCAGCGATCGCTGCACTTCGTGGTTACAAAACCAAACATGGTCTCATCAAAGATCCTTTCACCGTGTCGAACATTACACGCTTGACTGCGAAATTTGAGTCCACTGGAGCTGTATTGGATTTTCCTGGCAAAGGGAGAAAGTCTGAGTGATGAAAGAGCGCTCATTGTACAGAATGCCGTCGAGCAAATCCAGTCCCAGAGCACCATGACATCTTTGTCCATAACTCAGGTGTTTCAGTTGACCGGCATTCCCCGCGCCAGTGTGCATCGAATCATGAGAGCCACCTTCATCTCTACCCGTATCATTTCACTTTATTACAAAACATCACGGAAGAAGACAAGGAGCAATGTGTCACTTTCGCTAACTGGCTGCTGGACAATGAAGAAATCTTTCCCAACATTTTATGGAACGAAGAAGCAAATTTTTCTGTGGATGGTATAATCAACAAGCACAGTTGCGTGATATGGTCCCGTGAAGCTCCTCACGAGTACCTCACCCATAATCTCCATTTCCCTCATCTCTGTGTGTGGATGGGATTCTCCTCAAAGTGTCCCCTGCGTCCCTTTTTCGTTGGTGCTACAGTTTCCGACGACAGTTACCTCCATATGCTGGAGACGCATGTTATCCCGCAACTCAATCAGCACAAGTCATCGACCGTCTTTCAACCCCAATACTCAAACCAAGTGAGAGCTTACCACCGAGAGCAGCTTACTGATGAGGGAGTCATTGCTCATGGATTTCCAAACTTTTGGCCCGCAAGGTCACCCGATCTCACACCTCTGGATTGTTGGTTTTGGGTGATGATCAAGGCTCGCGTATATAATGAAAATAAACCTAAGAATTTGGTGGAGTTAAGAGCAAGAATTGAAGAGGAGTGTACACGAGTGACGCTTGAAGAAGTTAAACATGCTGTGTCTCACATCTCATACCGCCTCTAACTTGTTATAGAAGAAAGGGGTGCGTCATTTCAACATCCTTTGTAATGCAAGTCAATTCACAACAAACCTTCATAATCAATATATATATATATATATATATATATATATATATATACTGCGAACCTGGTTCCAGCAACAGTTTTACCCCTTGCAAGGTTCCAGGCAAAAGATATCTGAAACCAGTAATAGCATTGAGTACTTCGAACAACAATGGCCCTGTTGATGGACAGTTTGTACCGTGGAATCGAGGTTTATCAATTTGATCACTAATATTCAGCCAGTCACGAGAGCAGGTCTGCTCACAAACTGTCAAATTTTGTCTGAAAGATTGATGTTATCATTTACATTGAGACATTTTCATCTACTCTGGAATATAAGGAATAAAATTAGGCTATCATGTGGCGATCCACCTAGAACTCCGCTGTTAACTCTTGTGATATTCACCCCATCTTCAGATGCCGCAAAAGAAATTTCTGCAGTTCTATATTACCCGGGTTATTATTAGGAATGGGAAGGTTATTAGGAAGGAATGGGATTTCCTTAATACAGTAATGGATGGAACGGGACTGCTCTACATTCACTTGACTTTGCAACTATCTTCGTGACAGCGATCTGTTTGATATACCAGGCGTAACTTTCTCCTCCCACTGATTGGCTCCTTCCCCAGAGTAGTGTTGAAATGATAGTATTTCATAGCACACTTTTCTTGAAAAATTAAGAAGGTTTCAACGATATATGGTCACGAAGATCTAGAAAGTTCACTAAGAATGCATCACCCTCACATAATTGTAGCATTTATACCTTCGTACGACACCCGTTTAAACATTTCCCCCCCCCCCCCGAATTTAATAATAATACTTCTCAGCTGGTCTCAGGGGAGTCAGCTGGAGTACGGGGAGGGTATAAAGCTCTAATATGGCAGTTCAATAATCTGATTGCATCTGACTTCAGTCAGATTGCTCAGCCCTGTAACCAAGCCGGGAATCATCTACTCTACCTGAGCCACTAACACTTTCCTCTATGGAGTTCAATAATCTAGTTGACATGGACCACTCTTATGTACTCATCTGGAGATGCTCTCATATCACCGAGCTAGCGTTCGTGATAATCCTCATGAAGAAGGGAAATCGAAGTTCACTGAAATACGCAAATAATGCGTCGCACCGAAATCTGACCGATCTAAATTATGTTAAACCATCTCTTTAGGTATAAAAAACCAGGAAGACTGGTGGTTGCCGCAAACTTCGTAAGCGCGGCGAAGCAGAGATGACTGATGGCCGTTATAATGAGATGCAAGTACTTCGTGTATAATATATCTCCCGCGATTTCTAACTGAGCGTCAATCAGGCCCAGCAAATGCTCTGAGACCCTTCGTTTTCAAAACACAAACACAACACTCGAGGTAAAGACTCAAGTGAACAGAAAATCATAAAAGCTTCGGCCATACAACCTGGTTTTCTGCTGGTATGTTATCGAGATAGGAAAGCAGAGTAGCATTAACCCAAGTCACAATCAAATACTCCTTAGGGTTTTGGATTCTATTCTGAGAATAAAAAACAGTTGGTTAAGGAGACGGAGAAATTAAGTTTGCTTAGATGTGGATTTCTTTATGCTTCTGTGTGAAGACCAAGCAAGAATAATAGCAGACCGTGACGTCAATAGCGCGATTTATACTGAATCATCATTGATCTTGCGCGTATTTACATTCATTAGAAGGCACGTGGACCATGATGACAGGGTCTGTATACAGCTGAAACAGATTATTTCCTTAAGTGAATTCACTTAAGAGACTCAAGAGGGAATCTTAATAGGTTGAGTATACAACTATGCTATCAGTACCTCTTGGGTAACGAAGCGCGCTTCATATCCTGAAATATGTTGATCTCTCTCATTTGTTTGAACAGACTAATATACATTTTCACAACTTGAAAAGTGCAGTGTGCTCTCTTGGAATTTCATCCGCTCAGATCCAGACTGACCATAAATGCACTAGACAACCAGCTTGTAGGAAGCGTAATAAAATCTGTATGCTCCAACTTAAAGGAGGAACAGTACTCTTCATAGCGTTCCCCATCTTGCAGTTATTCTCCAAGATAACGAGTTGATTTTCTGGCGCATACAGAAAAGTCTTTCTGGGCAGTGAAATAAAACTCTTGAATTTTCTATTTGGAATACATGAAAGCAAACAAATTTGAAAATTAATGCAAAGTAAATACAAGGACACCGCAACCCTTCAGCTTCAGACATCCTGTGCTCAGGAGACAGTGGAGCAGAAATAGCAGCCGCAACCGCAAAAGTAGGGTCGGCGTTATTCAACGACGATAACTCCGGTCATGACTGGACGTCGGTCCTTACCTCGTAGAAGTATTGTCGTTGAACATAACTTGGCAGAAAAACAATGCTTTCATCCAATTACCTACTTCTCCTGTGTACCCATAGAGGCCACCCGCCTGGCAGTGGAATGCTGGCATGTGTAAGTGTGTGTATCACTGCACCTACTCACTCACCTGGGTTCGTGCTTTATTTTCTGAACCTACTATGAAATGTCCTGTTTTTAGAACCATGTGGTTGTTCCTCAAATCCGAATCAGGAGGGTGGTCTCGGGCCACACCACCGAGCCAACATCCCGTATGCCGACATCGACCCTGCGATGTGCTGGTCAACGACAGACTTGTTGACGCCACGAAACTGGACAAATGAGGCTTATCGTTCATTTTTGCTATATTGTGGGTATATGATGCCATATAATTCTGAATGGGATTCTTCCTTTTGATAATCGAGATAGTGAAACCTACTCGTCTAACGAGAAGTATACTGGGTGTTCGTCCATGCTGCACACTGTAAAGGTGCGAAAGCTAGCGGAGGACTTGCACAAGTTACCTCAGCTTGATCAACCCTGGCAGTGAAGCATTACGTGCGTTTTTCTGGAGCATCGCAAAGCAAGATAGGTAGCAAAAAAGCGGAAATTAAAGATATGCTTTCTATTAATTCGTTTCCATGTTTGGGCCACATCTAAGGAAGGCTGCAACAAAAACTACCAAGGCATACACAGTTTTTCATGCTAAAAGCGAACTGAAAACTGCGTCTTAGAGGCCAACAAGTAACGTGGCGGAGTAAAATGAAAAAGATGAAATCCAGATGGGCTTCACTGGGCTCAATCCGATCTTTCGCCAGTGATAGGAACAACAGCTGCTTTCTGTGGTTGGGTGACCTTGTGAGATAGTGCACAGGACCAAACCCAATGGCGCTCTTTTGCCATCGGGACGTGTTTGTCATTTCGTATTTAGATAGACAGATGATATATATATATA